ATCATATTCTACGACAGTGATTACTCCTTAAGAGTATTTGGGACTATAATGGTTTGTGTTGGACTTTAATCAAGTCCTAGTGATCAACTGGAGATAAAAGATTATTCATTAAAAATTTAAATCAATTTTATTGCCTGTGAGATTTTCTAATAGGAACAAATGGAATAGATGAGATAGCGGAAAAATTTTTTTAGTGCACTATTACCTAAAATGATGAGTTCACGAGGGTTAAGAATATAAAGAAAAAACTCCAACAGAAGATAAATATTTAAGAGAGGAAATTAGAAAAACAGAGATTTGTTCAGCCATGCAGACGGTAGGTTTCCTCTCATTTAAAATGTCTCTTACTGTGTGTCGTTTTTTTATAACACCGTTTCCTGTGTCCTAATGTGTGTGTGTGTGTGTGTGTGTGTGTGTGTGTGTGTGTGTGTGTGTGTGTGTGTGTGTTCTCAGCGGAGAATCTGTGTTTCTGGCAGGCTTGTGAGGACATTCGACACGGCGAAAGTTCAAGAATCGTAGAGAAAGTGGAAGACGTTTATGAGTGAGTGGTACATCCTGTTGCATGAACTTCAGACACACACAAAACAGTCACCGTCCTTCCTGTCCGTCGCCCAGAAACTTCCTGGCTCCTGGAGCGGCCCGCTGGGTTAACATCGACAGCAAGACCATGGCTAAAACCCTGGAGGGGATGAAATGTCCGCACCGCTTCGTCCTGGATGACGCTCAGATGCACATCTACTTCCTCATGAAGAAGGTCTGGCTGCTCGCCTCGGAGTACGAGGACGCAACCTTTAAAATAACAGTTTGGATTTTGATACTTTATATGGGTTAAAGACGTTTTAAAATATTTTTAAATTAGAAATAAAAGGGGAAAGCTTAGCGTGCCTGGAAAGAGAGCTTGTGAGATGTGTTAGTACTCTCAGCTACTACCACACCAACCTTTAGCTCAGTGTAGGTATGAGACGAAAAGAATTGTTCTTGGAAAAACAGAGGTCAACACCAAAATGATCAATATTAGTGATTATGTTGTTTTGGTCTCTAAGTTTTTATTTGGTTTAACATTTAAAACCCAGAAAACTTGTGATGATTCTGCTACAAACACATATCAACAGAACGTTTTTATTTCTTCAGATACAGTGGTTTGCAAAAGTATTCATACCCCTTGAACTTTTCCATATTTTGTCACATTACAACC